TAAATGTAATTATTTTACTGTTTCTTTTATATTCAATATTTGTAATGAGCTGCAGGGAGAGAAACTAGAATTATCGTCATACATATAAATAATTGGAGTTTCACTTGTCCAATGAAATAATTAGGATTATTTTATTAAAAAAATCTAGCCTCCACTTTTCACTATTGCACAGAGTACGAGAAATATCATGACTCACTAGCAAAGTACTGTTATCGAATGGGGAAAAAACTCATCAATTTTTTGTTACGTAACATGTCTAAGATAATGGACAATAAATATAAAATACAAAAAAATAAAAAATAAATACATAATTTGTTGGGGGATGAATTTGGGGGTTCATCGACCACAAGTTGATTAGGATTTATCATTAGAATATAGTCAAATGAAGCAAACTTTTAAGAGATTTATCAGAACTAGGCAATTCATTGGAGTCCGACTAGAGTTTGAGGATTCATTAAAGTAAGAATAAGAGTAGATAGAAGCACCGAACAGTCTAAGGGAGTGAGTCATATTAGAGTGGCAAATGGGTGGGTTAGGTTGGTTATAAGTTAGGTTAAATTAAATTAGGTTCAAATAAATCTAATTCATTTTTCGCTCATGTAGTAAATGAGTTATAATGGGTTAGATTTATAACAGGTTGAGTTAAACAAATTAACCCATAAAATAATTAAAATTCTTAATAAACACATTAGTACATCAAAACACACACACACACACACATATTAGTAGTACACCAAAATACAAACATACACACACACTAATTTACTAAAACACTAAAAATATATACACTAAAATACACACACATATACTAACACAAAAACTAAAATGTATTTAATAAAAAAATACACAGATAATGGATCAGGGTGATTGTGAGTTATGAGTTATGGGTCAACCCATAGGTATGAGTCAACTCACACAGGTCATGGGTGGTGGGTCAACATGTGGGTCATGGGTTGACTCGTGGGTCATGGGTGGTATATTAGTGTGTATTTTTGGTGTACTAATATGTGTATGTTTTGGTGTATTGGTGTATATGTGTATATTTTTTGGCGTAATAGTGTGTGTATTTTTTGATATATTAGTATATTTATTTAATTTTATTACTTGTGTTATTTAATAAAAAGATCAATACTCAACCGAATAAGTACCCATTTGTAATCCATATTAACTCACATAATTAAAATGAATGATAGTACCCAATCCATTTAAAACCTATATTAATTAATATAGGTACTCAATCCATTAATTTATGGACGAATTAATAAGTAATAAGTTAAAATTGCCAACTCTAGGCATAGTTTTCAAAAAAAAGAGATAAAAGATTTTGTGTGTTCATGAGGGGAATATCCGCATAAAAAGGTCGAGAAGATGTCCAACAAAGGGTCAAGTTGGATGTCGACCATTTGATCCTAATCACACCAACATAACACAAAGTTATTAGACATATGAGCTAGGGTCAATTCTCTACGATAATGATCACTTCTTTTTCATCCCCTTAAAAGTATATTTCTTTCATCCAAATATACTAACATGGTGGTGTTACCAAGAAGTGCCATCAAGTTTCCACTGTCACCACATTGCAGAACTTAACAAGTAAGTCCACTTAACTGATTCTAATTATTCTCATTGATTTGATTAATGTGTAAATTAATAACTAACTCTGCAAAATATCAATTTACCAGTAAAAGAAAATAATGCGCAAAATATCAACTTACCAATAAAACTAAATAATACACGAAAATGACTCTTCAGTACATTACGAAAACAAGGAGAACATATCCGATACAATGATCATGTTGCGTCAATATTGTCATGTGGTACCACGAAACAATAATATGTAAACAAGTAATGAAACAAACCCTGCATAAACAAATAGCTATCCATCCATGTAAGTTAATAAATATTCACCTTATTCATTTAATACTTTTATTATTAATTGCTGATGTCTTGGAATAACACTTACATGATATTTAGGTTATATTCAATATTTATTCAAAAATCTTTGTGTGTAAGTTGACTTATAAATCTTTGACCGTTGAACAAAAAAAAAAAAAAGATATTATATATATTTGTCTTCCCTTTCTCTGTTTACAGTATGTCTTTGATGCTATCGTTGCACATGACCCATTAGTAAAGGCCTAATTATGATGCTAAATAATTATTTTTTATTTCTATATATCTCATGCTTTTTACTAATCAGAATATGATATGCCTAGAACAGTCCTAACTAAATCAAGATGATAATAATATTTTTTGGTACTTTTTAATATTAATATATAATTTAGTGTACCAAATAAATTAACTAGTGGACATGTTAAATATGAATCATTAGGTACATATATCATATTTGTTCATGAATATGATTGGATACACGTATTCATAATTCTTATATATGAACTGTATTTATGAGATGAATCTATAATATACATACATTAACATTTATCATTATATACAATATATAGTGTGTGTATATATATTAGATACATTTACAAATTATATACAAAAATTTATGCATGTACATCATAAATGACTCGTGTTCATGAATTTATTATTATTACATACATATGTAGTCATATACATGTAAATTATGTATACTTGCATGAGTTAGATATATGAATTCTAAAAGATTCTGAAAACATATAAATTGGATCTCTAAGGTCCCGTTTGGTAACGTTTTTGTTTTTCGTTTCTCAAAAACGAAAAACGAAAACCAAAAACGTCTTTTTTTTTTGTTTTGTTTTTGAAAATCAGCCCTCGTTTATAAAATTGTGGCAGAAATAAAAAAAAATCGTTTACTAAACGAGTTTTTTTTTCTTATTTTCTCTAAATATCAAAATAAAAACGAAAAACGAAAACGTTACCAAACATAGCCTAAAATGTCCAATTGATTTTTTTTTTTTTTTTCTGAATACCATCCAAGACATTGCAATATTTCACAACATAGTACGCACACTTAGGTGTTTAGGCTAAAGAAGGTTTTTTTTTTTTTTTTGTGTGGAGCTTTAGACTTGACCATCTTTACAAAGTTGGTTACAATTTCATACAACGAAATTGTCAATCAGTTGTACTTTAGAGGAGACAAGTGAAATGAAAATGTCAATTGCATCAATTTTGGACTAACATTAACAATTTTGGACTTGGATCTCTTTAAAAAGACCAATATATCCGTGCCTCACACTAAATATTTTCATGTTTATTTTCATTTCTTTGACTTTATTAGTATAACACAGTTGGGATACCGTGGTGCTATCCAACTAATGAAGACAACAATAACTTAAATCAGGTTATTTACCCAAAATAAAAAAATAAAAACAAAGGCAAACCAAGGCTTGGAATACAAACAAAAGAGAGGAAGTTTCTGAAAGTCATTATCACAATTCTTTCTCCACTCAAAATGACAAACTCATTTACTGATCCTAATAATTCTTTTATAATATAGTGAGGGTTTAAAGTTTATATTCATGATAACGATTTCTTTGTTTAACTTTGCAATTAAGTTCCCTATTGCATCTATCATGACTGTCTTCTTTACTCTTTACCTTCCAACTTTTTCAAGTCCCTACGGGCCACTATGTAGCAGGCCAGGCTAGATCTATGTATTGGGCCACAGGTCTTCCGGGTCGGTCCTTCAGCCACGGCGGGGAACATAAATTTGAAAAACAAATAATTAAAAAAGAAAATAATGCTGCCGCATAAACTTTTTCAAAGTGTTTTTTTTTTTAACAATAAAATAAAATAAAATTGGAAAGTAACATATTCAAAGTGCATTTACCATAGCAACTTTATGAAAATAGATTTGTGTGGCTGTCCATTCATCGCCACCAAAGAGCGGATAATATTAAATTGAGCAAAACATTTGAAAAAAATAAGAATTAAATAGCATCACACTAAAATAATGATGTTTTCTATGTTACTATTATTCATTTAAAATTTAATTTTTTCTTTTCATTTGAGCTGCCATGTTATTTAGTTTTTATTTTTTTGGTCAATTTAATGTTGGAATCGGAAATAAAAAAAAAAAGTAAACCCAACGGGTAAATTACTTGGGAAGCTTACAGACTACATAGTCCCAAATAAATATTTTAATACCAATTGGTGGTTTCAAACTCCTAAAGTTTCTAGCAGAATTGGTGTGGAAATAGCATAATTCAATGGACATTTAGAGCTTCAACTTTTCAAAGTCTAGAGACATAGAGACAAGTCATGCATGCACTAAACCCGGCAATCATATATGTACTTTACCTAATTTAATAGAAAAGGTAGCTGAATTGATATTGGGAACTACTTATTACCTCAAATGTAACTTCAGCAAGTGAACCTCTCCTTATGAGTGAGGTCTTGGAGTGTGGCACCCATGCGTGAATCATGCAACTCAACGATTCCCACATGTTCAAACTCAGTGAGTCACCCACAAACATGATCTTCTTCCCCCTCCATCTCTCCAAAAAATCCAACCCATTAAACCTGCATCATTTGAACCAAGTTACAGAGAGACTGAGAGGGAGAGAGTACTGAAAATGTATGATGAAGCAGAGAAGTACCTTGGCAGGTCACAAGAGAACGGCTGCCACCTGTATTTGAGGTACAATTTATCAGGCCTTTTGTACTTTAAGCAGTTGAATTCTGGATCTATGAAGGGACACTTTGAAAAGTCATAGAGAGGATATGAAGAATCATAAACCCATTTGCCTTGGAAAATATTGCATCTATTGGCAAGCTTTCTTGCAATGGAACTGGTGGCGTTGTTGTAGAGCTCAGCCTTTGTTTGGTGTGAAAACAGAAAGAGTGAGAGGAACACGGCTTTGAACAGAGCACTCATCTTGGATTTCGATCCTGGGGGTCAAGGGATTAAAGGACGAGGTGTGAAGAAAAAGTTGTCTGAGATATGTAATCTTGTAATGTGGTACTAATACTATATAGAGTGGAGAGAGAGAGAGAGAGAGAGAGAGAGAGAGAACCGTAGTGGGGGACTGGAGGCTGCACATGGTGTGCGCCACAAAGTCCTACTTGTGTATTTTCGTGTGAATTGGGAAATCTTGTATTGATTTCAAGTTGAGCAATGCTAATCGTACGCTTACCAATTCAATGGCTTTCATACATTAAGTTAATAAATTAAATTTAAATAATATTATATATTACCTGTGGTGTTGGATTATTTTTTTTTTCTAAAAATTAGATGAGTGTCTTGATTTTAAAAAAAAAAAGCATAATTTGCTTTTTTGGTATGTTTTATGGAGTAAAATCCTTTTCAATAATCTTTGAAAATTTTTCCGATCACAGACCATGGATTGATAAAGAGTTCACTTGAACTCAGTTAATCTCACCTAAATCTACATTAGGGTGGTCTAGAATTGAAAGAATTCAAAATTAATTCAAATGGAATGGACTTTTATTTTGTGTTTCCGTGCTTGCTTGGTAATTCAAAAACTTTTTGGGTAAAAAACAAATTTAAGTCTTGAATTTTACCTAAATTCCAAATTTAGCATTTATATTGATGTTTGTCTCCATTTCATATGGATCATAGGCAGGGGGGAGGGGGGATGGTTGGGGTTTGGG